CCAAGCAGTCACTGCAGGGTCAGCAATGACTGAGCGCAGACAAAAAAAAAACAAAAAAAACAGCCTGACTAGATTAACTGGTATGAAGAAACCATACTAAATGTATTAATTTTGCAAGGATCTGGACCTGGGTCACAGGGTCACAGAGAAGCCACTGATGGGATGAACTGTTTGGAACCATAGTGCCTAATTGTTTATTGATAGAGATATAACATGGTGACAATAGAAAAATGACTGTAAATTCAGTGTAACTATTAATGCAAACAAGACAACATCAAACATACATATCTTTCTTACAGTCACTGACCAGGACATGAAACAGTATCAAATTAGAAAGCAACTGACTAAAGCGAAGAGACAGACATAACTTAGAAATTGTAACTGGTACAACTGATGACATAAGCACTACAGCTAAGGGTTGCTGGGAGCAGTATGATCCAAATACTAGGAACTCCCAACAGTGATATCTGTACACAAATGCAGTAGGCTCATTCCTACACATTTTAGGTGGATTATAAGGATTGTGGTATGAATACATACAAGATCAATAACTGAGATGAAAGCAAAGTTATACAGTATTAATAATCATGGTACACAGAAGTTAGAGAACACTGGTTTCATATATATGGAAACCAAGAGAATCTCAAATACCAACAGGACCAGCAGGAAGAAGATAAACTACAATGCCCTATGCATTCTCTTCCAAGATCTGAAGATCATAAAAACTGAGAAGGTATGCAATAATCTGATGAGTAATACGGCTCAGCAAATTGGTGAATGGAGTCTATAATCTAATGATTCATCTGTCCAAAATCTTCTCTAGCATTAAGGTGAGGCAATATCTACTGTTACCAGGCTAACTGGATTGTGAACTCTCTCTCACTAAAATAGATATTAATTGTTAATTCATTTTTCATGAATGTTTGCATTGATTGTAATTTCTATCTGGATTTTTTATTTTTCAAGGTTCAAACTTTTTGCAAACATCTGTTAGTTTGGAATTTGGAGATAAGCTATATAAGAAGGAAAAGAGGAAGAGAAATCAAAAAGCTCAAACCCCAAAATAAACACAGTAGAATAAATGGAACTTTACTCTAGAACCAGAAAACAACCCAATTTAGAGGAAGTAATAGTGACTAAAAATGACTTATTAGGAGCCCCCACTAAAGAATGACAGAGAGATGGACAACATATAGCAAGGTAAGAATAATAAAGAAGAAAAATAAAGGAAACAAACTTTGTTATCTTCTTGCCCAAAGAAGAAAAAATAATACTCGGTGTACTGATATAAATATTGCAGTGACAGCAGAAAGAGTATTTGGGTGGCTAGAAGAGCTTAGGTCCTAGTTCGACCTGGTCTTACAAACAGCAATCAAAAGAATAATTTAAAGGGATAATAAAGAAACTAGCTTCCCCCCAAACTGAAAGGTTATCTTGCTACTGAAGAAGGGAATACAACATTTTAGGTCAAAAACAAATTTTGGTATTGCAATCAATACATAGGCCATCAATAAGTACAAGAAAGCTAAAGTGATGGAGTGGGCATGAAGAAGTCAGGAAGCAACTACACAATATACTATACTTCAAGTATTGTAGACTTAGAGGAAATTTCTTAAAATATATTAACATCATCACGCTTAATGAGGAAAAGGTAAATTGAAAAAATACCATGTAATCAAGAGGGAGATTATTCTTTTAAAACAGGCCAGCAGAATAATAATAGTCATTGACAGTTAAGACCACAGGTGAGCACTGAAAAGCCCAGCATCCAAACCTGTACTGGAAGCATGGATGAAAGAATGGAACTTACAATGAGTCACCTATCAAGCTTTTTGAATTTTACAGCATGAGCCACTAGTACGTCTTGATGGCCCCTTATTTTAAAAATTCAAAGTTATCTAGGCAATTAGAGACAAATATTCTAGAGATCCTGAATATAGAGAGGATTCTCAAATCAGTATTACAAAGCCCAACAACAGTAGTATTTCCAGGGCCTAGAGATAAAGTTGATAACCCAATCATAGAAAATGACCAATTCTTGCAATCAAAACATTCATATTTTTTTATCACAAAGATTGATAAACAAGAAACAGAAGTCTGCTGGAGGTATGACCCCAGATGTTAATTTAAAGTGCTTCAGGACCCCTCTGCTATGCCCTCTTCAGATCAGTTCAAAACAAAGAAAACTCTGGAAAATGGCAGTGAAGGAACACTGCAGGCAACACCAAAACATGGGATGTTAGTTCCTGGTGACTGTTCTCCTATATACTACATTCCATCAGGAGCTGAGTTCCTATATAATTTTCAAGAATAAGTAATATTCATAGAAATTTTTTTTTTAAATGATCAGAGAAGACTTTTTGGCTGGGGGGGCTTGGAGAAATTAGGAAAGAGTGATTTCTTGTATGTGAAGTTAAATAACTATTATTAATGCAATTTCAACCTCATAATGGAAATATCTTTGTGGATTTGAAATAACATATGAAGATTATTAAAGAGTTGTGTCCTACAGTACAGCAGGCTGGAGGAACAAATTGCATACAAGTTTGTTTTATAAATGTAGGCAGTCATTCTATATCGTTTGTTTATAAGAAGCTTGAGTGAGTGTAAATTATCTGGATTTACCAGTATACAAGGCCTATATTTTCTGGTGGTGAAGTCAAGCAGGCAGGCCTATTTCTGGTATGGCTATTTTGATATCTTTGATAGTAGAATTCAAAGTATCTTGTTCTTTCATATCCAAAACAACCAGAGCATGTTGCACTCTCAAAATTAAAACAAAAAAAAAAATTGAGTTTTGGAGTTTCCATTTTATTGATCATTGGACAGCTTGTCCACTGGCCACCTTTCTTCCATTAAGTAGAAAAGAGAGGAAGTATTAAATAAAAGTATATTCTACATGAAGATTAACAATAAAAATGTATCTCTTCCAAGGAGAATCCCAGTGTTAAGAATCTCAGGAAACCTAAGTCTACTACTGTGATCATAGTTATATGAATATGTAATACCATATGAGTTATCTACCCCAAGATAATGCATAATACTGCAAAAAAGCTGGAGCATCTGAGTCTGGAGATCAACACTGAGAAGGTTTTCTAGAACCAAAGAAATGATATCAATGTCCCTCAACAGCTTTCTCAAAACTCTACTTCAGAAACAGATTCCAAGACTTCATGTCTATCGGAAGGTCTATCAAACTATGTTAGTATATTGATACTTTATAAGGATCTGTGATTGTAATAAAGATAGGCACTAGAAATTAATCCAGAACCAAAGTTTCAAGTGGTTTCAGCTGTAGACAGTTCCAGACGTTTGTCCTTAACACTCCCCTTTTCCTCCCATCTTACTCTAGCCATTTATAAACTTAAGATTTGCCCCAGTTTGGTCTTACATTTTAGGTATTACAGCTGGTCCTCACTTAACAACCACAATAGGGACCAGAAAATTGGTCGTTAAGTGGGGCAGTCGTTAAGCAAGTCACATAACCAGACCCAATTTTACAACCATTTTTACGATGACTGTAAAGTGAATCACCGTGGTCATTAAGTGAGTCATGTGGTCATTAAGTGAATCACGTGATTGTTCACTTGTTATTTGCTTAACAGCCACATGATTCACTTAATGAATGTGGTGATTCGCTTTATGACCATCGTAAAAAGGTTGCAAATCACGATCACGCGACCGCAGGGGGGTGGTGCAATGGTTTGTGACGGTCATAAGTGCAAGTACAGGTCATAAGCACTTTTTCCAAGGCCGTTAAAACTTCAAACCATCATTAAACGGTTAAGCAAGGACTACTTGTAGTCTGCCCAGCATCTATGGTACTAATGGTTCTTATAAACATTGTTGGTATATGATGCCCACCCACCTTAACTAGAAAAGATATATTAGGTAGCATGGTTAGAATACCTTCTTCTGAGAAATGGCAAGTTACAAAAGAGCCATTATAATTTTTTTGTTGTATTTAGTCGTTACCCAAAGTATGACAGAAGTTGACAGAAGTGGTTCTTCTCCATACTTATTCCTGAAATGCTATTAATAATGATTGATGCTTCAGGATTATTCCAGGAGGAGGGTTAGTAGGCTTGTAGAAGGAAATGTTGGCAATAAGGATGGGAAATAATTTAATGTCTCATCCCAAAGCAGGACAAATACAAGGACCATCAATATACATATGTGGAGGAGGGCAGGGAGGAGTTTAATTTCACAAGCAGAACAATTACAAAAGACTGTGATGTCCCAAGCCAAGTGTATGTCAAAAACATATGCATTCAAAAAACCCAAAACATTACACAGAAGAAATAACAACTGAAGAGTTAGGAGGAAATTAAATAAGATAAATAAGAAAAGATGGAAACTTTTTTTCATAAGTGCCATTGTGGCAGCTGTGAGAACCAGCAATTGTAATTATAAGATATGCATAGAGTGAGTTCTGGAATAACAGTCTGCATAGGCCCGAACCATGAACATGACCCACAGAGGCCCCAAAGTCAGTTTATAATTCTAGTTATACCTCTAAAATTCAAATCTAGATATCTGCCTTCTAAGTTGCTGAACTCAAATGCAAAAAAGTTACAAGATATTCTAAAGTTTGAGCTACTGTATCACAAATGCTCATTTTCCATGTCAAACACATATAAAACCAAAATAAAATACAAAAACTCAATACATACTTGTCCACTTGTCCTGCATTGTGATTGTTTTCTGCTCTCATCCGTGTCAATGCAGCAGCAGCTTCATCCAATGCACAGCTAACAGAAGAAGTCAATCTTCGGAGCACCTCAGGATCTGCGAAGGCTTTACCATCGGCAGTGGACAATTTACCAATCCCTTCAGCGTATGTGTGTTCATCAATCAGATTAGTACGAAAGCCACACAAAAAATGCAGAGACACTATTTTAGACTTCAACCACATGCATTATTAGTTAAAGTCATCAGTAGCAAACATGCCAAATAACTAAATGTTCAATTGTTTAAATATATTATTAAAACAAAAAACAAAGCTGGCTTTAAGACAATTTTCATTGCACACAATTCTAGCTGTTACATTTATGCAAAACATAGCCCTGAAGAATTAAAAAAAAGGAAAAAGGCTCAGTGCCATGGAATGTAAGGCCTCAATTATTTTAATCGTTTTAAACTACAGATTTCCCAAATTTTCAGGTAGTACAATTAATGACTGGTGCAGATTCAAATTAAAAGTTTGTATACACCCATATAAATTAATTAATTTCCCAGAAGTTTAAGATGATCAGAACTATTCTACATCACTATGAGTTGGATGCAGAGTTAGCCAGAGTAAATCCTAGAAATCAATGTGATTTTATGTAGTAAATAATTACAACAACCTCAGTATAACTAGTTTTGGATCCAATTATCTGCAATATTACATGTTAGTTATTTTCAATTATCCTTTCCCCTCTTGATATTTTGTTACCAAAATCTTTTATCTAAGTTGCAGTTTCTTCAAACATCAAAATATTTATTATATTCATACATGTACCACTATCACAAGTTTCCCATTATAGTGAAATATAAGTAGATTTTACATGGTAATCTCTCTAATGCAAATTTTACCTATTATATTTTTAATCATTAGATTACAACTTCTCTAAGATTTTTTTTTAAATGAGATGTTTTTATCTTCTGTTAGTCCAAGTAGATCATCTCAAAGTAAAAGGAACTTTTCAAGTATACTACCACAGGAAAAGAATCTAGCGTGTCATCACTGGATCACTGAGATATCTGAACTTATATCTCACAAGGGATCCAGACTAAATTTGCAAATGACCTAAACAAACTTTTATGAATGAGTGAATGAACGAATGAATGAATGACTATTAAATTTGAAACTGTCCTAGAGCATGAAAAATATTTTTAAATATTCAAACAATGATACAATGTATGCTGACAAATATTCATTTATGTACAGAAATCTTGTTAGGATCAAAACTAGAATCTACCTCTAACAAGTCAAACTCTATGTTAAGGACTGCATGCACATGAATCATGAAATAAAATGGCTGGAGTAAAAGGTGGTATCCTTTTTATTTGGCACCTCATTCAACCAATTGGCAAGTAATGGCAACCTAACCTAAATCTTCCTAATGCCAAATATTCAATCCACTATCCCGCATTTCCTTCTAACTCACTGCTCTTTAGATGCTTCAAGACTACAGTTCATACTGCTAACATGCTATCAAGTTGGCTACCAAATCTGGAAGTAATTCCAATGCATATAGAAAGTACCAAGCTGAGAAGTCTGTATTAAACTGTATTTTCTCTTTTTCTAGGTGTACAGAATTTGCTGAGCTTGAAAAATCCATTTTAAATGTCCTGAATTTAGATCAACGTTTAGATCAATCTTGAAACTAGAGAGAATACATTAGCCAATAAAACAGTGGGTAAAGGTTCTATCCTGATTGCCATTGGCTGAAATTATCTGAGTAGAGGATGGGGCAGGAATCAAGGAAGAGTCAGCTAAGCACAAACTGTTGCCTTGTCTAATTTACTATTTTTTAAAAATGCTGAGCTACTATGGATCACAGTGTAATTTTGCCACTATATTTAGGCAACATAATGTTAAGAATAATAGGGAACAATATGTAACCCATAGGTTGATCACCCCTTTTCTCAGTTCTGGAAACACATCGAAGCAAAAGAAAAAGGCAGCATATTATTATATTATTAGTATAATTATTGTAACATATTAATAAGATAGTATGAGTCTGACAGCATCTTAAGTAATAACATTAATTTGTGGAAAGTAAATGTAATGATGCTTTAAGACAGAAACTGGCAAAATGGTGATTCCTTAAAAGACAATTCTCCACAACCTGCTTTATTACCCAACTCACTGTTGCACATGCCAAACATTTAGAATCTCTTCTGAAAAGGAAAATATTCATCCAGATTTCCATAAAAATTTAACTCTTACTGAAAATGAAAAAGTCAGCTGTCCTGTGGAGATTGGTAGATTTTATTCAAGCTACAACTGAACTTCATAAACATGTCCTCTGCAGTATCTTTAAATGAAGATTACTGGTTCTTACAACAATTTTAATGGCAATTACCTTGATTTAAATGTTAAAATAAAACATTAAATTTTGGTTATTAATATTTGCTGATTACATACCTGACAAATGTATGCTATATTATAAACTATGGTTATAGGTTATACATTAGTCTATTATAGAGGATTGTCCATTTTGAATCTTTCTGATAACTGTAAATGGGAAAACCATTGACAACTATATCCTTCTGCTATTAATTGCTCTCTTGATTTAATTTTAAATTCCCCTTGATGGTTTTCCAATAGTTCCCGGTACACCAACCATTGTCTTTGTATGTTGTTTTTCTTCTAATGATATGCTTCTTGAGCTGAGATCCATAAAGGTGTTTTCGGGCACAACTCCGGTTTATATCTATTCCATGTCTAATAAAATGATTTTTTAAATCCACTTATGGTATGGAGACTTATGGCATGGAGCAAAGACAGACAGAATTTCAAGTACAACTGCGCACCGATGACGAATATGTTAATTGCTAAAACATATACACATTTGTTGAAATTTGAAACAGAAGAACAGGTTAAAGAATGTATGATAAAGTGGGCTAAGAATTTTGGTTATAATATACAGATGGA